AGGGCTAATGACATAATTCCTCTTTCTGAGCAAGGAAACATCCTTCAGAGACCATCTAGTCCATTCGTTCATTCTATAGATGGGGACACTGAGACTCAGAGAGGGAGAGTGACTTGTCGGAGTCATACAGAGAGTTAGTGGCTCAGGTCCCAACTTCCAGCCCAGAAGCAGAAACACAAGGTTGTATCAAGTAGTAAGAAATTCACATCTGACTCTGGGAATCAAACAGAAGCATGTTCATCCCTCAGGTTCCCCCTTCACCCAGTCGTGCACTGATTTGGACATGGTGGTGACAGTAACTGCCTCTCCCATGGGCTTTTCCTAAGGAAAGTGTCCCTACCCTCCAACCCAATAGACTTTAGTGAACGGACAGTCCTAAACAGCCATACTTGTCTTGTGACCTCCATAGCCCACTCCCAACATGGGACCATAGGTCGGGGAATAATGGCAGCTGGTCAGTGACCTATGATATGGAACAAAAAGATGAGCTAAGCCAAGAGAAAGAATAGCGAAAAGCATTAGAAGGAAAGGCAGAGAGAAGATGAAGTTCAAAGAGAACAGAGGAGCCACAACGGCCCAGAAAACAAATACGCTGAGGTTATGAGGAGTAGGAACTTTATGCTGGCAGAAGCGATGATGGAGAGAAAAGATGAGAGTAGGGGCTGAGGAAATCAGTCAACAGTAACAGACAGAGCAGACTCACAAGGAGTAGCTGAGTCACAGTCATGACGGTGGACCAGGATCAGGATCCATGGTCTCCCAGTGGTTCAAGGAGCTGGCCTGAGAGTAAGACTATCCTCCACGTCTAGTTTCATGAGGCCCAGCTCCCGAACTGTGATTTCCCTTTCTCTTACTGCCCCATGGCCATCCTTTCAATAGAAAACTCCTTTTGCTGAGCCAGCCTAATGAGTCTCTGTTCCTTGCAACCAACTGAGAAGAGCAAGCCAGCACACAGCCACTTCAAATAGCTTCACCGCAGCAGGCAGATCTTCGGCCTCAGATGCCACTGCCAGTGGGGCTTTTGATGCCTTGATGTGGAAGCACAGGGGTTGTAGACTGGTCCCCTAAGGAGCTGGCAGATGCTGCTGCTGCTGCTTCATCCTCCTCCATCTCCCTCTCCCACTCCATCTCCTCCATCTCCCTCACCTCCCCATCCTCCTCCACCTCCTCCTCCTCCTCCATATCCTCCATCTCCCCCCATCCATCTCCCCTTCTCCTCCATCCCCCTCACCTCCCCATCCCCCTCCACCTCCTCCTCCATATCCTCCATCTCCCCCTCATCCATCTCCCCTTCTCCTCCATCCCCCTCACCTCCCCATCCCCCTCCACCTCCTCCTCCTCCTCCATATCCTCCATCTCCCCCCATCCATCTCCCCTTCTCCTCCATCTCTTCCATCTCTCCATCCTCCCCCACCTCCTCCTCCTCCTCTATATCCTCCATCTCCCGCCATCCATCTCCCCTTCTCCTCCGTCTCTTCCATCTCTCCATCCTCCTCCACCTCCTCCTCCTCCTCCACTTCCTCCTCCTCCATCTCCTCTTCCTTCTTCTTTCTTCCCATTCCCCCTTCTTCCTCTTCTTTCTTCCTCCTACTCCTCCTCTGCCCCCTTCCTCCTCCTCATTCTCAGTCTTCTTTATCAAGCTATTTTACGCCCTGCATACCAGTGTTGGACTAAATCCTTTACATGTATCACTGTGTCTAATCCTCTCCACAATCCCCATAACACCTACTATTATACTGACCATTTTACAGAGGGGAAACTAAGGCAGAGAGATCTTGTCTGGTCACATAGCGAATGAAGGAACTGAGTTTCAAGCCCAGGCCATGTGACTCCAAAATGCACAATCTAACCACTATGCTGGGTGGAAAAGCTGGGCTTTTGTGAAGCTGGATTGACTGAGCTAGACAGGAGAGGAGACAGAGAGCAATGAAAAGGAAATCTTCAGACCAAATTGGCTCCGAAATCTATTGCACTAACCACATCATTGCCTGACAAAAAGAATCTGCGTGAAGCCAGTGAGAAGAGAAAGGGGAAAAAATAACCCAGCCCTGTGTTAGATCCTGTCCACCTTCATGTCAAAGCCACTTTCTAAATAGAGGTTAATTTATTTCTCTTATCAAATTCTCCTGCTGGCAGACAAGCAGAACAATGTCAAAGTCACTGATGGATCTGACCCATGTTCCTGTCCCATCTGACACCAAGAGGCTCATTGTACTTGTAAAGACAGAGAGAAAGTTCTCGAGATGGCTCTGAGCAGCTCGCCCCTCAGGACGTCACAAAGGAAAGGATGGGTTATAGGCATGCACAGTTACTTCCCAGGAGCCTCACCCATCAAGCCCCCTAAACACCTCCCAGAGGTAGGGATCCCCTCTCCTGAAGACCTATATCTTTTGCAAATAACGAAGGAAAAGTGGACACAACCTGATATTTTGATTGGAAACCCAAGACTTCAGCTGATAATAGTAGCTAGAGTTTTCTGGACATTTACCATGTGCCAGGAACTACACTAAGTGCTCTGATGTTGATTATTTCATTTCAGGACCACCGCCCTCTGAGGTTGGTGCACTTATTACCCACCATGGATATTTCAAAACATGGCGACAAACTCCTTGAACTATTCTCGTCGACAGGTGGGATCTACACCTCCTCTCCTTGAATCTGAGTGGGCTTGTGACTGCTTCCATCAGTAGAGTACAGGAGAATTGATGCTGCCAATGCTTGGCTAGTGACAAGCCAAGACAATGCATGGGCTTTTTATAACGTAATGTCATAAAACATCCAGCTTCTACCTTGTTTGCTAAGATAGTTTCTCTTCAAGCCCTGAGCTGCCATGTAAGAAGCCCAACTACCTTGAAGCAGCCATACTGTGAGGAAGCCCAAGCCACAAGGCAAGTCCACATGTCAATGCTCTGGTTGAGTCTACGCTGAGCCTGGCCTTTGACTCATCACACCCAGGCACCAGACATGTGAGTGAAGGAGCCTCTAGATCAGGGGTTGGCAAACTTTTTCTTGAAATGGCTAGACAGTAAATATTTAGGCTTTGTGAGCCAAGTGGTCTTGCTATAACTTCTCAACTATGCGCCTGTAGTGAGAAAGCAGCCATAGACAATATGCATGTGGCTTGTTCCAACATAATTTTAGTCACAAAAACAGGTGGTGGACTGAATTTGGCCTTAAGCCTTAGCTTGCCAATCCCTGTTCTAGATCATTCCAGCCCCCAGCTGTGTGAGTTTTCCCAGTTGAGTCCCTGGATATTATGGAGCAGAGACAAACCATCCCCACTGTACCCCTTCCTAATTCCTGACCCACAGACTCCAGGAGCATAAAGGGTGGTGTTGTGCCCCACTAAGTTTGAGGTGGCTTTTCTGTGCAGCAGTAGCTAACTGGAACACACCCACTTTACACACAGGAAAACCGAGGCTCAGAGAGATAAAGTTACTCGCCCAGAGTCTCACAGCTAGTAAGTGGAGGAAGCCAAGGATGGCTTCCAGGTTTGCCTGAATTGAGAGGCTAAGCTCTTTTTTTTTTTTTTTTTGTGAGGAAGATCAGCCCTGAGCTAACATCTGTGCTAATCCTCCTCTTTTTGCTGAGGAAGACCGGCTCTGAGCTAACATCTATTGCCAATCCTCCTCCTTTTTTCCCCAAAGCCCCAGTAGATAGTTGTATGTCATAGTTGCACATCCTTCTAGTTGCTGTATGTGGGACGTGGCCTCAGCATGGCCGGAGAAGCGGTGCCTCGGTGCGCACCCGGGATCCGAACCTGGGCCGCCAGTAGCAGAGCACGCGCACTTAACCGCTAAGCCACGGGGCCGGCCCCAGAGGCCAAGCTCTTAACTGCTAAGATGTTGCCACAAGGAGCCAGATGGTGAATGACTGAGATCTGGTAGTAAAAATGGTGGCTGAAGCATGAGAGAGAAAGAACATACGGGCTTTGGTGAGGAGGCATGGAAAGAGAGGTCAGAGATGGAGGGAGGGACCAAATCATGCAGGCTGCAGTAAGGAATTTGATTTGTTTTCTGAACACAATAGGAAGCCACTGGATGGTTTTTAAGCAGAGGGTGACGTGATTCAAATTATATTCATTAAGAATTGCTCTGGCTGCTGTGTGGAGAATGAATTGGGGAGCGGGCAGTGCCCTCCAGCCTTATGCAGAAAGGTGAGACTGCGCCTTACCATTGCGGGGGTCACACAGCCATCATCATGCTCATCTGGGACCTGAACACAGGTTGGTGACTTCCCACCCGCTTGGATTGATCTGCGCCTTATCCACCTTCAACACAACGCATCAAGCATCTTGGGGCTTGAGAAATCACCTATTGGCCTATACAAACTTTGCCTCCTACCATGAGGCTGGAATAGCTTTGGTGCAGTTCCACCAATAGACCACAGAAAGGATGTGGAAATCCTGCTGGAAATTTCCAGGCCACGTTGGAAAAAAAGATGCACAGACAGGCCACTGCTGACCACTGTCTGAGGACCAGCTGAAGTCAACCCAATGGCTGTGGCTCAGAGCTCAGGGCTCCCATACGCAGCCATCCACCTGGTCTCCAGCAGGAGCTCAGAAATAGATTCACTTCCTTTGGTAGTTTGATTCAACAGAGGTGGCCGAAAGCCTAGAACCATTTGCAAAGCTTATCCTGGTAAATGGTGAAACACATCACCGAGTAAAGAGGGTGGGATCTGGACCACTAAGGAACGCCGCCTGAGGCTCTCCTACCGTCCCTACTGCGCCCTCCTCGACACACATTCTCATTTCCACGTGCCCTCTCTCTAAATTAGACAGATTTCTGGCACACTCACTCTCCACTGATGGCTGGATGCCCCCAAGCTTTACTAGACAAACCACATAGAAACAGAAGAGCACAGATGGGCTGGGAGGGGTGGGCATCGCTCCCAGATCAAGCCGCCACGTCCCGCTCAAGCCCCGTCCTCCCTCCCGTGCCCGCCCTGCCCCAGCAGCAGCCTCCGCGTGCCCTGACCCAGCAGGACCCCAGCCTCACCTTGTTGATCTTGTTGGTTTTGGGGAGCGTCTGACTGATGTGCAGGTCCGAATACCGGGGTGGCTTTCGTAGAGGGTTGTTGATGTCACACGGGACGGACTCTGTCCGGACTAACCGTGCTGGATCCGTAGGGGCAAAAACAGCGATTTGGGAGTTTAAGTATCACTTTGTTCGTTATGCCAGGAGAGCTCAGACCCCGCCTGGCAGGCCCACCCCTGGGGGACTGGAAGAGAATTCACTAAAAATGATAGTTGTTATGTCATGGCAGTGGGATCGGGTATTCTCCCTGGCTTCTAAAATTTTTGAGTTGTCAATACATGACTTTTGACAATTAAAAATTATAACAATAAAACTGAAGCTATCAGGTTTCCTTTTCCAATATCATAATTGTTTCCCATCGGTGTTCATTTCAGAACTGAACCTCCTTTGAAATACAAGAGGTTCCTGATTTCGCAGGGTCTGTAATCAGTGGACAAGCCACCCGTCCCTGCCCCCATCTAACCTTCCTGTTGGGATCATCTTTCGTTATATGTGGGATTTCTCAGGCCTGAGTAGCCTGTCACACATCGAAACACATTTGTCCTAAACCAGGCCACCCCAGATCCCTGAAAGAAAAGACTTAGCTCTTACAGCCTCCCCCTCAGAGACATCTTAACAGCCACACAAAAAGGTGGGCACACAGTTGATGCTAAATAAATGTTTCCAGATCCACCACACCCAAGCCCCTCTCCCTGTTACCCTCTGTTATTTCTACTACTTAAAGGGATCACAGGGAAGGACAAAAGCGAGAAGCTCAGATTCCAATTTGATGCCTGGTGGTGTTACTCGTTAGCTGTTTTTTATTGCGGGGGTGGGAAGGGGGTGTTGGTGGAAAAGTTAAAGCTTTGGACTGACCCAGGGATTTAATTTCTCTGCTTAGCCTGAGCTGCCATCACCATGGAAACCAACTATATTTTCAACTTCCTACCAACAGGAGGAGGGGGGAAAGCAAGAAGCTGGTGGACTTCTGGAAAGTTCCATTTGCTTCGCATGTACAGGCACCTGCTGCCTTTGAGCAAAGAGGGCACGGCTGTGATGGTGGGTGGGAGGAGCCCTTCTTGAGATGTCAGCCTCTGAGAGCGGGTCGCCTTCCAGCAGACCAATTCTGGTCTCCACGCGGGAGCTGGACTCCAGGGGAACTCACTATGGAGAGGAATTTGGTGGGAGGCGATTTCTCCAACGAAGCTGACCCAAGACAGGGCTCAAGAGCAGTGAGAATTCGGGTTTAAAATAGCCTCACTGAGTATATACAGTTGTTTAAGGAATAGATGGTTCTTAATTAAGGATGTGGGGTGAGAAGAGAGCTGAAGACTTTTCCCTCACTTACACTTGCCTCTCCTCATGGAGTTAAGTAATGCAAAGATCATCGAAAACCAATGGCCCGTTGGCTTTGGAACACATCCCAGCCCTTTTGGCAGTGATTTGCATCCTTCTTTAAGCTTCCTTTGGGTTCATTTTAAAACAGGGCAGGTTCCCCTGAGCCTACACTGACCAAGGCCAGGAGAGCTGGGAGGGGCGGAGTGGGAAGACGAGGAGGAACTCAGTCTCAGATTAGCAAGTTGCGTACCGCAAAGATGGCTCTAAGCCTCTAGCGGACCTATAGACGGGGGCTGGCAGGGAGGTGGCCAGCAACAATTTTAATAAGTTGCTAAACTGTTAAAATAAATATACGCCACATAAAACTATTTGGGCTTTTCTTTGAAACATGAAACATGCTGCAGCGAGATCCACATCGCTGCTGGAGTGGCTCTCTCTAGACGGTGCCTGGGCTTTCCCTCCACTTTGCACGGCCCCTTCTGGCCAGCTTCTCTCGAGGGTACTTGCTTGGCCCCGGTAGGCATTTAGTTTGCAACTTCTACTCTAGAGCAGTGCTTCTCAACTTTAAAGTGCAGAGGAATGGCCTATATATGCTATTAAAAATGCAGATTCTGCTCCAGTAGTTCTGGAGTGGGGCCAGAAATTGTGCATGTCTAACAGGCTCCCAGGTGATTCCAATGGTGCTGGTCCATGGACCACACTTCGACAGCAAGAGTCTGGACCAGCAATGCCCAGTAGAACTTTCTGTGACAATGAAAGTGCTCTATATCTGCACCATCCAATATGGTGGCCACATGTGTCTACTGAGCCCTTGAAATGTGGCTGGTGTGACAGAGTAATTAAATTTTTGTTCTTATTTCATTTTAATTAATCTAAATTTAAACAGTCAGATGTGGCTGGTAGTGTTGAACAGCACGGGCCTAGAGAGTCCCCCAGTAATTGAATTGCAATGTGGATAATGGAGTCTGAGAATAACTACCCCATAGGAAAAGAATCAGGGGAACTATTTTGAAAGCTGGACTAAGGTTTCCCAAGCAAGTGCCTCTATTGAGTCCTTGGAAGGCAGGGAAAAGCCTTTCCTTCTAGTCTTGCCTTCCTGCTAAATGGATCTTGCTTTTGCATGGTGGAAGACTGGTAGTGGCTCTCCCAAGGGTAGCTACTACCTCCCTGCCTGGACAGCTTGGCCCAGACACTCCCAGGGCCCCAGAGGATAGAACACAGATGGCCCAAACCAACAGGCCCAAGCCAGACCCCTCCCCATGCCCACTTCTGCAGGGCCAATTGACTGAGCGTGAAGAGCATATAAGGGAAAAACACTCAGCCAGCACTCTTCTTAAGGGGGAAGGAAAAGGCATGGAATCAGGGGAAAGAGAGGTGAGTGGAAATTAGAAGAAAGGACAAGAACGAGAGAAAAAGACTTAGGTAGGGGGAGATGAATCTAGGGGCTAAAGTATCAGAGAAACCAGTAGAGAGGCAACGAATAGGGAGAACAGGCGTGGGGGATGGATTAAGGAGACGGATATAAGGAAGAAGGCATCAGAGGGAAGGAATGAGACAGGCAAGCATCAGGGAATTAAGGGGGCATCCAGAATTGGCCCGGGTGGGACAGCTATCTCAGATGGCTGGCAGGAGCCCCCACCCCGCCTATACCCCTAGGGCAGCAAGTGTTAAATACTTACCTCCTCGATGGATGATCAGGAGATGACAGGGCGGGGCTTCTTTGGTGCATTTGTTGTGGCACTTTAACCTGAGAGAAAGAAAGAGAGAGAAGGACGGATGAGTGGATGGATGGATGGATGGATGGGTGGGTGGATGGGAGGTTGGGTGGATGGGTGGATGGATGGGTAGATGGGTGGATGGATGGGTAGATGGGTAGGTGGGTGGGTGGATGGATGGATGGATGGATGGATGGATGGATGGATGGGTGGACGGATGGATGGATGGGTGGATGGGTAGGTGGATGGATGGATGGATGGGTAGACGGGTGGATGGATGAGTAGGTGGCTGGATGGGCAGATGGGAGGGTAGATGGATGGGTGGATGGATGGGTAGGTGGATGGATGGATGGGTGGATGGGTAGGTGGATGGATGGATGGATGGGTAGGTGGGTGGGTGGGTGGGTGGGTGGATGGATGGATGGATGAGTGGACGGATGATGGATGGATGGACAGAATGCCCCAGTGGTTCCAAAAGCTCTGAGTACTGTGGATACCAAGATGTGAGATGAGATGGGGCTACTGCAAAGGCATATCCTTGGCACCCAGGAAATTAACTCTCGAGAGAGTTTGCAGCCATCCCACTCTCACAGGTCAGCCCTGGTTGGTCGAAGAGTGGGTAGCAACTGTTTCGCCAACAGTGCCCACTTGGGCTTCGTGCTTTGAAAGCCATTTTCCCCATCAGTCTGTATTTAGCATCATCATACAATCCTAATAATCATCTACCATTTACTTGAAGACTCATTTGCCAGCCATTGTACTAAACATTTTACATATGCCACGTCATTGGATCTTTATAACAACCCTACGAAATGAGTATTATTATCATTCACATCTTACAGATGGAAAAACTGAGATTAACTGACTTGTCCTGGCAGAAAACCTGGATTAGTGGCGCCAAAGGTGGCCTCGTTTTTCTTAAAGGCTCAAGCTACAGGACACAGTCAACCAAGGCTTCCAATTAGGATGAGATTAGTAACAGGTGTTAAGTTTTAGAGGCATTAAGAGTTGAGTGTCAAATCGTCTTCCTTTGAGACAAATCTAAGATGTCACCTTATAAGAAGAGCATGTCATGCTCTTCCCTATATCATTGCCAGACTTCAAAGGGGTTGTAAAAATCCCGAGTTACTATGACCCGGCTTTGTCCTTTTCTTTTCGAGTTTTACGTCTATAGGATGGATAGGCACTGTGTGATGCTATCAGTGCTCCACCCACATCCCTTTGGATTCCCTCACCATCACCAGCCTAACTTCCATCAGCCAACATCTTTGCCAGAAGGCTGCCCTTGGGCTGCTTGGAGCTTTAATATTAAAATGCTCAGAGAGGAGGGAACTTTAGATTTGCCCTCCACCCTCTTCCCCTCTAGGAATTTCATAGTTCTCTTTAACAGAATGGTTCGAATGCCCAGACGTAGACTCGGCATTGACTCCCCCAATTAGGTCTAGCTCAGTGGTTCTCAAAGTGGAGTCCTCACACCAGCAGCACCAGCACCATCCAGGAACCTTTCAGAAATACAACTTCCGGGGCCCCAGCCCAGATCTGAATAATTAAAGACTCTGGAGCTGAGATGCAGTAATCTGTTTCAACAAGCCCTCCAGGGGAGTCTGATAGTGCTCAGGTGTGAGAGCTACGTCTCTAGTTGACGGTTTTGGAATGTCTGTGCACATTTCCCCAATTTTTGTTGTGTTCAGTCTTTTATGGCCCTAATAGGGCCCTGAATTCCTCTCTGATATGGAAAAGTTAGACCCGAGGCCACTGAGAGGGCAGAGGGGAAGCCAGGAGGGACGTGGGCAGCATGAATCAATGCCGAATCATGTTGAGAGAACGGTAGTCCACCTTCAACTTTCCTTCACTCTGGTTGCACCAGGGAGAAGGTTTCTTGTGCTAACACATCTTTACATTCTCTCTACCACGTGCTAACCCCAGTCCCAGGCAACAGTTGGACAGGCAACAGTATCCACAGGGAATTTAATAAATTTATTTTTCCTTTAGAATGTCTATTTTTTTTCTGGTTGCCTTATATTAGTGGCAAGTGATGCTGATTTTCCTTCATGATCATAAGATATGTTTTCATCTTAATAAATTTACTTAAGTTAAAAAGAACATAAAGGGGGCTGGCCTGGTGGCATAGTGGTTAAGTTCATGTGCCGTGCTTCGGTGGCCCCAGTGTGGACCTACACACTGCTCATCAAGCCATGCTGTGGCAGGGTCCCATGTATAAAGTAGAGGAAGATTAGCACAGATGTTAGCTCAGGCACAATCCTCCTAACCAAAAAAAAAAAAAAAAGGCCACAAATAGTAAATAAATATATGCAAAGCTGCTACATAAAAATGACAAAATCATGACAGGGTGGGGAGTGAATGGCTGAGTTAGACTGGAAAAAGGTGGCTTAGACAATCTGGAATCTTCAAAAAGAGGTGGCAGCTCTTGGCACCCAAAAGTTGCAGATGGTTGAAAAACATTAGGAGACACTACTGGTCATGACTGTCATAAAGACTGTGTGACTGAAAAAACAGGAGCTAATGCTTCTGTCATGTTACGATGTACCAGAGGATGCTCTCAGTGCTTTACAATTTATTTAATCTTCGTAACAACCCTCAAAAGTAGGAACTATTGTTATCCCCACTTTACAGAGTGAGAAACTGAGGCTCAGCAAATTTGGATAACTTGCCCAAGGTCAAATAGCCAGTGAAAGATAGAGGTCCTGCATCTAGCTCCAACCACCATGCTAGATGCCTCCAAAACTTCCATCCTTCTTGCTTTACATCTAGGGGGTGGGGGTGAACAAAGGGGTAGGTTCCTGGGGTCTAGAACCAGCTGAGTCAAAAGGTCCTTCTTTGAGACAAGCCTAAGATGTCACCTTGCTCTTTCCCCTACAGTTGCCTGACTTGAAAGGGATAATAAAAATTCCACGTACTGCAAACCGGCTTTGTGTTTTTCTTCCCTAAGGCCCCCAGACTCTCTGACCTATAGGGAAGATCCCAGTCTCCAGGGAGATGACCGGTGTTGCATCAAGACCCTGATATGATGCTCTGCTGAATATGAAAATCAGCCTTTCATTCATTCTACAAACACTTCACTGGGTCTATTGTGCCCCAGGTCCTGGGGACATATTGGACAGGGCAGATGAAGCTGCTATGCTTATGGGAAGGGATTATAAACACATAAACAAATATCAGGTAATTGTAGGTGTGGTAAGATCATGAAAAAAATAATACAGGGAAATGCGATGGAGAGTGACGGGAGTAAGAGGACAAGGGCTTCCAGCCGGCGCAAAGGTTTGGAGGCAAGCACAAGCTTGGTGGGCTCAGGGGTCAGAAGTTACAGGTCAATGAGGCTAAAGTGAAGAGAACAGGAAAAGCGATGAAGACATGAGGAAGGGGAGATGGGCAGGGGTCCCTGTGGCCCCACCAAGGAGTTTGCATTTGATTCTACAGGCACAGGGGCTTTTGATGACTGTGACACAGTCAGATCGATGTTTGGGAAGCCCTGAGTTGGGGAATCTGTTGATGCCAAATGAAAGTGGAACCAAGAAGTTTCTACATTTATTCCTGTTTGAACTAGCTCAACTCCACTCTGGAAGCTTCCAGAAAGAAACTGTTCCTTTCTGCCACGCTCACCTTTGAATCTTCTTGAACAAGCCCAGCTGGAAGGGTGACAGGCAGCTGTGAAGAAGCCTGTTGCTATCGTGGGCAGCACCATGAAGCAGGGGCAAGCAATTTAATGTAACCTTTGGACCACATCTGAATCAGGATGGGGCAGGCAAGACTGCCAGTGACGTTGGCCCATTTCCTGCCCCCACCCGGGCATGTTCAGTGTCCTTTGTCACTTGTCCCTTGCAGTAATGGAAAAGCCCTCCTTCACCTCTGGCCAAAGGGTGGGAGACGGAACGCTCGTCCTTCCAGCCAGGGCTTCAGAGGGCAGTGCCAGGAGTGGGAACACCACCACTGCTCACGCAGAACACCCGAGAGAACTATCTCCGGTGCCCAGACACTTAACCCTCGCACGGGGGCTCAGATGTCAAGAACTAGAGCCGGCACATCCAGGATCTGCTAACAGAGTCGGCAGGATTAGCCTTGCACTGAAATTACCCAGCTGGGGAGGGAGGAAGCGGAGGGACCGAGGTCAGGCTTCTGCACAATGCAGACACACTATGTCCCACTTACGATGAATCATGTTTCTCACAGGAAATACGCACGACTCCACCCAAATTAGACTTTTCCTTCTCACTGCCCACAGAAGAAAGAACTACTACCACACAATTTACTGGTGGACCAACTGCTTCAGAATCAGGTCCCCAAGACTTACCCTCCAGGGGCCTGAGTCGGTAAGGGCTAGAAACGTGAATTTTTCGCCAGTGCATGCCAGAGCTCAAGAACCACTGTATATGAGGGATAGGTTCTACTTCCCAGATGAGAGATGTGTAGGAGCCTACATCTTCCAGAATACAGTATTCCCCCTACCCCCAAAAAGGGAAACGGGGTCAAGATAATATACAGAACAAATCTGAGTTCAAAGCTTGACACCACCACTTCTTGGCTGTGACAACTTGGGCAAGTCGCTGATCCACTCTGAGCCTCAGTTTTTTCATCTGTAAAGTGGAGACAATCAAAGCATCTGCCTCACAGGGTTGCAGTGAGGACTAAGGATACGACACGGGTAAGGGGCCTAGGACAAATCCTTGAAGTAGCAGGTACTATTGTTTTTATTACGGTAGTTATCATTACTACTGATGGTTTGGGCAGCAACTTTTTACTGCAAGACCCTCTGCTGGAGGGCTTTCTCTGGCTGGAAACGTGGGCTGGCTGGAATGCCTGGAGCCGCGAAACAAACACAGGTGGGAGCTGGTTGATGAGTACCCCGCCTCCTCTCCCTCGGCTGGACAACTCCGAGGTGTGTGGATGTGGGATTGGACCCCAGCTGCTCACGGCCATAGCCTGCTCTTCGAGGCACCCTGTGCTGGCTGCCTTCCTTCCCTGTCTCACTTCCCCACTCCCTGCTGGTGTGGCCTGGAATCACATCTCAAATAAA